TGAACCCGGCTCTAGGCTCTCTTGAGAGCACTGCTGGTCAGCGGCACCATGGACAGGGGCCTGGCAGCCATTTGCTGGTGTGCACGGCACCTTGCACCCAGATGCTATCGCCAAGCATCGGTCCATGACATCCGCCGTCACCAAGTCGTACTCATATAGGTTCAGAAGGAACAGGGAAAGGTAGGTCCGCAGCTCTGGGCTCGAAGAGAGAGTATCAGCATGCTGCTGGGCGAATTCTATGCAGGCGTATGGGGTGTAGGCATCCGAACGAATGGGTTGGCCCAGGACGAAGATGTTCCACATCTTGAAGAACGCCCTCTCATCAGGGCTCATGTCCCTGGGTTGGTGGATGTCCCGGTACACCTGCAGCCTCTGCATCTCATGGTCCTCCTCATCCTCCGTCTCTGGCCCCTCCAACAGCGTCTCCAGCGGCATGGGCATGGCTGTCCTGCACTGGTAGAACGGGTGGCTCTCCGCCCAGTTCTCCTTGGGGCTGTAGTTCGTGCACTGCGGCGCGGAGCTTTGTGGGAGGGGGGCAGGCCCATGCTGCTGCTGCTGCCCAGCACTGAAGGCATCAGCATCATTGGCCTCCGGCTCCCTCTGCGCCCCCTTCCCCAGCTGCCCCTCCCCGCCTTGCGCCTTCCAACCGCCGACCCGGCTGTCAGGCGCCCTCGGGACCTCCCTTTGGCCCGTTGTGATCACCCTCTGGCTCCGTTTGTCCTGGAACTCCTGTTGCCTGGCCGCATGCCACGGATGGGATGGAAGCCCCGGCTCTTCAGCCCTCTCTTCAGCCCCCCTTTCCGCCCCCCGTCTCCCTGCACCGATCCCGGATGGCGGCAGGCCCTGCGGCGCCTGCGTGCTGGCCGGCTGGGCCTGCGCCCTGCGGCGCATCAGCTGCCGCCTCCTTGCCTGATAGAAGCATCCCAGCCGCCCCTTGAACGTCCTCCCCCTGGCGGGCATGTAGTAGGAGAAGGTCTTCTCCCCCCTGCCCCGCAGCCTGCTGGCCTCCGCGGACACCAGGCCCCCGTTCGGGGAGTGCAGCCCCGGCGGGCACTCCACCCTGATCACATTGAGGCCCTCCGCCGTCGACGCCGTGAATTTGAACAAGTCGTGCCACGTCTCCAGGTGCACACGCATGCCCAGGAAGCACCCGCACGCCGCGCCGCACAGCGGGCACCTGCAGCCCTCCACCACCTCGTGCTGGTACCTCTGATTGTCGCCGTACAGGTACAGAAAATGCACCGGCTCAGCCACCGCCACCGCCCTATCCCTCCCGCCACCCTCTCTCGATCGATCGATCGCCGCCGGCCGCGGGTGGCTCACGCTGACGGTGCACGAGCACAAGCGCCCCCTCGCCCTGGCCTCCGCGCACTTGACGAACCCCACGTGGGTGCCCAGCTCGGACGCGTACATGTCCAGCGTGAAGGGCGCCATCCGCACCTGCATCGTGCCCGCGGCCTTGAACACGGGCACCGTGGCGCCCCACACCACCGCCCCGTGCGGCACGATCCCGAACGCCAGCCAGCTGCCCCCACGCCGGATGTCCGTGCACACTGGCGCCACGGGCCGCCGACGCCTCAGCCCGCCCATGTCGGGATGGTCGTCCCAGACCACCAGCAGGGCGACCCGGCTGCACGGCGCGGCGCGGGAGGCCAGCCTGGATGCCGGCGGCGGCGGCATCGCCACCGAGGGCTGCTCCCCGGGCCCCAGGCGCACCACCCAGCTGCGCAGCGGCCGGTAGAGCCAATCGCCCGTCGTGATCACCTCCTCGCACAGCGACACGCAGACCGTGATCCCACGCTCCCTCCCGCCCAGTGCCGCCCTGTACTCGTAGCCCAGGAAGCCGAGCTCGATCGACCCGCATCCCCCCCCCTCGCGCGCCCCATCTCGGTGCTGCGGGCCACTGGGGAGTTTCGTGTAGGCGAGGTTGCGGCGCAGGATGCACGGCGAGTTGGCGGATCGCTCTGCCAAGGCGCGGTACAGCGCCACGGGCTTGACGTAGACCCAGAAGTCCGCGCCCTGGGCCACAGCCGCCGCCTCCTCCTCCGAGAGGGCGGGCAGGCGTGTGCGGGCCATTTGGGGGGGGCCGCGCGGTGCGGGAGGGCAAATGCAGAGGACGGGAGGATCGGGGTGATCAGGGGTGTGACAGACTGGGGCCATGTGCGCGCTCCGTGTGCGGGAGGGGAGGGTTTTTGTTGCGGGAGTTGAGGGAGGGGAGGGGGGGCGGATGGCGCCAGATTGGCGGACTGTGGACGATTCTTTCGGGATTGGGCGTGTGTGAAATGCGACGGGCGAGGGCACTTCTTTTTATGTATAATCATCGACAATCGCTTCTTGGCATTAGGGGTTCGTGGATTCGTAGGCTTTGTGCTTGTCCAACAGTAGACTTCAATGAACTGATTATAGACGCTGCTTTGCTCGGGCAGAATTGGAAGCTGACGGCTGCCTCGCTGACTTGTTCTGTAAAATGGTGATGACGTTGACTGGCGTGTTTTCTGAAGTCATTGATGAAAGCTGCGACTGATGCATTGGTGGATTCGCCACTTTTTTGTTATGAAGTGCCTTGAATTTCGATGAACGAATTATAAACACTGCCTTTATCGGGCAAAATGGGGAGCTCATGGCTACCTTTTTGCTTCGATCTGCTTTCTGCTAGATGAGCGATGTGTTCATCGTTTCTGAGAAACAATGGGTAAACAGTTTGCGATAGTGTTTTCGGACCAGAAGTTTTGGAATTGTGGCCGCCGGCAAGAAGCTGATGCTTTGTGGCAGTCAAAACATGAAACATTGATGGGAGCGGCAAATTTGCAGCTAGGTTAACCCACAACTTGCATGTTCAGCAGTTGAGCACAAATACTTAAGGACCTCTGTCGCACTGCAACGGATGATGTGGGGCAGTGCAAATGCAAAAGAACAATGCACATGGGATCTGCACCAGCCAAGCAAATGGTGCCTTCAAAGCAGCTTTTCCGACAATGCACCAGACAAGCGAATGGGATTATCAACACCTTGGTGTTGACCAGTAGCACCTTGAAATCCGGAATTCCTGAAGACCGGCAATGGAATGGCGGTCGCCTAGCTAACCTAATCCTCCAAGCTCCGGCAGTCTTTATGTCAATACCAGCGTGACTCAGAAACATTGCCAAATGGCAGGATGCAACATCAAGAGGGGGTTAAGGAGCGCAAACTGCCAACCCAGCAGCGATTTTTGAAGTTTGAAAAACGGGAAGCTTGTAGAGATGATAACTGCCTTTTGGCGATGGGGGAGCCTTTCTGTCAATTGGGACATTTGGAGATGACGGCCTTGAAGATCAACCCATAAGGAAGGTTTGCAGTAAAGTCATTCGTTGCTGCGGCCCATGAGCGTCTGTTTGGGCCTCTTCATCACGTAAACCCATATTGCGTCAATTGCATAACTTGTTATCGCTGCAGGCCCCACTCTGCCAACATCAATTTGGGGGCCAAGCATACAAAAATTGACACAGTGTGGTTCCTTGTGTAAGGAAACACATTAAGGGACACAAGTAAGGGAGACACATGGAGGCTAGCTGTATATTTCTCGCGCTCAGCATGCAGCTGGACTACTCTCTCAGCCAGCACCGCCGCGAGGGCACGATAGATCTCGTCTCGTATGCGGAATAATATGTACGGCATGTCGAGTGCATTACGCCTTCCTTCCCCTCCCAGCCCTTTTGCCTTTTCCCTTTACTGCTTTGGGTGGGAACAAGGGAAGGTGGGCGCCCCCGGCATGCATACGCTGTGTACCTTCGTCAACCCCTCGAGATCACTGAATAGTGATCGCTGCCAAGTCACCTCGCAATCCTTGAGAAAGCGCAAGTGGTGAGGTAGGAATGAAGGCATCGTGAAAACGGGGGTCATTTGGGCGTCCATGGGGTACACGACAGAAAAAACGGCAATTGGCTGTCGTGTGCATGGTCAAGGCACCGAATTAACGAAATGCTTGATTTTCCATGGAAGCGGCTGGCTAGCCCTGTAAGAGTAACGTAGTTTCGCAACTCCTGGCTGGCAGCATGTGGCAGAAAAAAACTGGTTTTGCGTGCGTGCTGGTGCGCACCAGCGCGCCCCAAACTAAGATATTTCATATTTGTTTGCGATTATTGTTGTTTTGCATTGATGCTGTGCACAGATACCATATCTCCGTTATATGCCGGAGTTGAGCGAAGTCCACACGCATCCCGGTGGTCATTGCTCCTGTTGCAGTAGTCACGATGCTGCACAGAACTTCTGCCACTCATCAGTTGCTTCTATGTGACAACGTGTGGCGATGTGTCGAGAGACTTGCATCTACTGTTTTACAGAGTTCCGATTGGAGGAGCGACCGCATTTCTAGTGCCGTGTGTTTTTGGCATAGATTGAAATGTCGCACGCACATTATGTCGGCACAAAACAGACAATGTAGAGCAACTTGCCGCCACGGCGACCTAAATTACACGTCCCCTGCAAAACATATCTGCAAAAAATGCAACGTTGAAAGGCAAAACATGGCGGGGCGCTAAGCTAACCGCAGCAGGCGGAAAGGTATATCAACACCACAAACCGAATGCCATTGGTCATGCTGCGTGCAACAGGCACAAGTTGCCTGCATCCACCCGTGGAATAGCCCTACACATATAGGATAATGCGCAGCTTGGCGTGACACCCAATGAATTAACTTAATCCGCACATTCTTGTGTCCACTATCTGCCTCACAAAATCGTTCATTGACCACTGCGTCCCCGCCGGGCCCGTAGTTACACCGACCTTATCGCACATATCTGAGGACTTCTCATGTGCACACTGCGCTCAACGCCCGTCAGCAGAATGAACATGACAACACGGCACGCCCCCCACGCGATGAAAAACGGGCCACGTGCGTGCTGGGCGACACGCCTCGAGTTCCTTCGCACCACTCTCTGAGCGCTGTCCCGTTCCTTTCCCAAGAAAGCAGCGACACCAACAGCGGCAGCGCCCTGGCTTGGCAAGGCGCCGCCGTGCGCCGCTCAAAACACTGTTGCCCCCACGAGGCCCTCGTTTTCGAACGTCCTGGGCGCAATCTTGTTCTTCAGGGTGCACAAGCCCGTCTCCGTGTTCCTCGTCCAAGCGAAGCAGTCGGGGGTCGTCCCGTCCGGCCCAAAGTGGTTCTCGCACAGCCTGCAGCACTCGTCCGTGGTGTCCGTCGTCACCTGCTCGATGTCGTTCCCGGGGAAGTCGACGCCGGTCTCCACGGCGCAGGGGGTGTCCTCCGGGAGGATGTCGAACAAGACCTCGTCGGACTCGCCTTCCGAGTCCACCACGCCGCTGAAGAAAAGGATGTCGTCTGGAACTTTCACCTGGGGCAGGGGAACATTGTCGGGGCAAGTAAGGCGCCGCAACGAGCTACCGTTGTCCCATCGTTAATGGCGTCGCAATGCGGCGCACTTGGGGCCACTTGAGCAGCAAGGCCAGGGCCAAAGGCTTCCGAACAAAAGCGAGCTCCGGTCAATGCAACAGCGACAGATAGTTTGCTCCAAAAGTGTGGCTCTAGACATGGGCTGGTTGGATATGCCCACCTGTACGAAGGTCTGCAGCCTTGTGGCCTCATACAGTGGCCGCGTCCGATTGTCTGACATGTTACTCACAAGTCGCTGGTGCAGCATTACCAACACGGCACACCATTGCCACAGTGCACAATGGCCACGCTGGAGCCCCCTCTACCGCTGTGAACGGTGTGAATTGTCCCACGAGCAAGCAACGACGAGCGCCGTCGCTTGGCTGGACGGCGAAGGCGGAGATGTGCGACGAGTCCCGACGAATCGAACTGAAGTCAGGCGCACATGTACGCGTCCATTGGCTTCGGTGAACACGCAATGAAACACTGTTGTAACTAGACCTGATTGAGTATTATTAACAGCTGAATGCATAAACAGGTGGTGAGGCACTAGGAATTGCATTAAGGGCGTCGATGAACGGACTGGATGTAAGGTGCAGAACTCCTGTTGTCCCTTTGCCTCGGCTGTAAGCAATCTTGTCATTCAGCGCAATTGATCACATCACATTGCGTTCCGGTCCCAGAAAACAGCAGCCGCGCCCGTCGCCGATGGAATACACTCTGCTGCGTGCAGCGAGGCACCGCCGCGCACCCAGACACCCGTAAAGCGAGCGGCACGCACAAAAGCGAACCCCCCACGCAACGCCACGCAACGCCAACCGATGGCGGAGAGAAACGACCAGGACACTTCTCCCGACAGGCGCCAGGCGTCAGGGGGCCAGCGGTCAGGAGCACAAGCGACAGGTTTTATGCGAAGAGGAGAGCCCGATTCACTCGACGGCAATTTCGCAGATTGTAAGACCCCGAAGAGATACCGACCTGTTGAGGGACGCTCGTCTTCAGCGCGCACCCGCCGTTCCTGCCGTCGCACGCCCACGACCTGCAGCCTGGCGTCCTCTGGCACAGCGAGCAGCACTGCGCTGGCGTCATCACGAGCAGGTCGCTGGCGTCATTGAAGGTGGACATCGCGCCGCTGCGCTTGGTGCCCGTCTGCACGGGACAGGCGTCATCGGGCGGGTCCTCGCAAGCGCCGGCGTCTGGGAAGCAGTTGGTCCCCGAGGTCCAGACGTTGACGGACTTGACCGGCGCGGGCAGCTGCTGGCTGAATTTCAGCACGCACTGCCGCGGGCTGCAGTCGGCGGGGTTGGCGTTGGCGGGGCAGTAGGTGAAGGTGTTGCAGGCCTCGTTGGGGGCGCCGTCGGCCTGAGGGGTGAGAAAGCGGCCACCACTTTTTGTAACTGCAAACACGTGGCAAAATGGGCACCCCAATACTGGGGATCGAGGCTCGCAAGAACAGAGCTCTGTACAAGGGAGACTCGCAAGGGCGCACCCTCTAAGAAGAAGAAGCGAGAAAGATTTCCTGAGAGAATGAACGAAAGACAGACAATAAGGAGAACGATTTCCAGAGAGAAAGCAAGATTTCCTGCACTCGCAGCAATGCGGACGTCCAAATCCGTGCCACAGTCGAAGTCGAGACTGGACTGGCTGCTGCGACAGGTGGCGTCCGGTCTCCAAAGCCAAGGCGAGAACACATCCGCTAGCAGAGGGGCGCTGTTTGACTACCTAATGTCAGCGGAGACAACCGACACGACCAGTGCGTCGATGTTCTAAGCTGCCTGCAAGGCTATTCAGTCATCCAAGGGGAGAACACACGGCGACAGGCAGCGCCCGCAATAGACCACCTGCGCGGCTCTGCACGCCTCGCAGCACTCGTCCGCCGTGTCCACCTCGATGACGTCCCCGCTGAGCTCCGTGCCGTCGTACTCCGCGCCCGGCTGCACCATGCACACCTCCGGCTCCGCCGGGGGCTCTACCACCGGCCCCGATGGCGCGGGGGCGGGAGAGTCGGGCGCCGGGGCGGGGGTGTCGGCGGCAGGCGGCTGGGGGCCCTCCACGGGGATGGTGGTGATCACCTGGGGAGCGGGGGGAACTGCTGCGGTAGTAGTTGGGGCAGTAGTTGGGGCAGTGGTTGGGGCAGTAGTTGGGGCAGTAGTTGGGGCAGTAGCCGGGGGAGTAGACGGGGGGGTAGCTGGGGGACTAGACGGCGGGGTAGCCTGGGGTGTGACTGGGGGGATGCCTCTGGGTGTGGAGGGGGGGGGGGCGGCAGGTGGTATTTGGGGGGCGACATCTGGGAAATCAACAGGAGGAGCAGCAGTAGGTGGAGGGGGGGGAGCGGAGATGACAGGCGGAGGTGGGGTGGTAGGTGGGGGTGAGGGCTGGGGAGGCGCATCGCCCTTGGTGCAAGTCTGGATGCTCGAGGGGACGATGGGGCCCCCTGTGGTGTAGCCGGTGGGCTTGTAGTCGCCCGAATGGCGCCCTGTGCCGGGCAGGTTGCCGGGATACTGGCCGTTGTCGCCGGCCAGCGGGCACTCGTCCACGGTCCCCTCCTCGATGGTCACGTCGAAGCAGGTGATGTACTCCTCTGGGAACTCGCGGGGGTTGCCGTAATTGCGGACTTCTTGCTCCGTCGCCCGCCAGTACCAGTAGAAGGTGTATGTGCCGGGCTCCATTGTCTGCGGCACCAGGAAGCACTGGCCGCAGGCGTCACGCCCAAGGCGATCCATTGGCACGTTGCCCGCCATGGCGCCGTTCTGGCCGAACATGGGGCAGTTCGAATAGCCCTTCATGTCGTCCTGCCCGAAATCGCTCTTGCCCAGGAAGGCCACAACGCGCTCTTCCTTTGGCGAGGTGAAGGCGCCTGCAGGGTTGAAACGCACACACACTATTGCATGGGCATCACCTGTGGGTTTGGATGCAACGTGTGGTGCGAACTGATTGAACAGGACCCTTCCAAGGTACAGGCGTCGTTGCTGCTGGCTTCGTGACGACACCAACAGATTCTGAACCTCCAAGGAGATTTGCTCGCATAGTGCCAACTGCTTGCAAGATATTTGGGCAGGCGCAAAGGTTGTGCTGTATTGACGACAACTATTGTGCAGTGCTGGCAGCATGTGTATTCCATTCAAGCAGTCACTTTTTGCTTCAGGATTCCTGCTACACCTGCCGTTGATGTGTATCTTTATTGCAGCACGTCACTGTGCATGGTGGCAACACATCATGTCATGCTGCACATTAGGAAGAGGCAGATTCAGAGCATGAACTAAAAAAAGACAACCTTTGGCTGCACATTCTCCATCACCCTGAATTCTAGCTTGGCAGTCCTTACCACTGTGCGGTGTGGCCAAACCACCGTGCTTCTAATGTAGCATATTGTGTGACTGCAATACACATACATATTGGAAGTTTTACAGCAACTACAATTCATCACCTCCTCAAGACACATGCACTTTTGTTCTTTGCAGTCAACTAAACAATGGCTGGGTGCAACTGGAGAACTGTTCATGGGTGGTAGTACCAAGTACACATTCGTTGATGGACATAAACTTGACAACTGTGCATACAATGTCCTCGTGAGTGGAAGGGGCAGCCAACAGCCAATTTGCCTCGTTGTGCCAGCAAACGTGCACATCAGGAGCAGAGGATTCGCTGAGGCTGCCGGATAGAATGCCCAACAACAGGTTACAGCACGTAACATGGCTCAATGTCTCTTCACTGCATCTCACCGACTTCCAGGTTGAATAACTCCGAAAGTGTGGCATCCCTTATGGCATCCTTCTCGGAGCTCATTATGTACATTCCGCCATCAGGGGTATTGATGGAATTCCCATAAACGTTCCTTCCCTGTTCACTCATGTTAGCTTGCGGCATGTCCATTGAGCGGCGATTCAGGGAGGGCCATACCTGCAAGGAAGAAAGGACAGGGACAGTGATCCACGCGAAAATGCCAGCGGCACACTTCTCAGTCCACACATCTGGTAGCAAATCTGACAATCCAATCTGGAGAAATAACTGGACGATTCTGGCGTAATCTTCTCCCTTTTCCTCAAAACATTGACATCGTCTTTGCGAGTCCAGGTGCCAATTCCTATGCTAACAGAATAGATGGCATTTTCGCGTGGATTCCACTGTCACTGGTTCTCATGCTCAATTGCAAGATCAAAACCAACATCAGCACCTGGAGTGGTGTCTCATCCAGTACCCAACTGCATACTGTGTTTCTCCTGAACACATTCGAAACTAATGTCCAGCCTCCACCTCACTCTCAAGACCATAGTTGGTGTGAATTAATGTGAGGCAATTGCAGCGGACCCCAGTTCAATGCAAATGGTGAGCTATGACAGAAGGCATGAAAAAATCAATGACCGATCCTTACAAAATGGACCAAGGACTTAGATAGGAGTTCTTGCAAACGAGGACATGTCAATGCACTTCATGTACAGTGGTTTGCAGCACTTATCAAGTCTAAAATACTGTGTCAAGCAGCAAGACCTGAAGGCTTGGTTCTGACAAGTGGTGGACACTACTTCATCGTTTGCCAAGGGGATTCCATCCCCATCCTGGCTTAGCAGGTTCCACAGACAAACGGTGGTCATGTTCCAAAGAGGCTGACTGCATTGCCCAGAATACCATTATTGTTTGGGGCACCCTCAATGCATTGAATGAACCGCCTGCAGCAATGGGGATCATGTGGGTGTGCTGGTGTGCATAAATGCAAACACTCTCTTGTGTAGTTGTGGCTTTCATGTACCCCTGTGTCACTCCAGGCAGTTGCGCATACATGGAGACATGCAGTGATGTGCTGCAACTAGCAGAGGTTCCTACAAGAGTTGGTTTTGGCCCGCATCCACTTTTGGCCTCACAGTCACAAGTGAAACACAACACAGGGCATCGTCATATTGCTCAGCTTGCACATGTAAGAGTTTTTGCGGTGCTGGGAACGAGAAGATGCCGCAGACAGTGGGGTGCATGGCCACCTGACCGATGGCACAAATGGTGTTTGCGCACTGCAACCAGGATTGCACTTTTCTGCACTTTTCCAGGAGCACTCAGCGATGCTGATGTGTAGCCAAGGGCCACAGGTGCCGTCTTTGGTGCGCATGCGCAAGCTGCAGAACGCTCCGAGCAGTCCAGGCTCACATAACTGGACTGCCATCAGCAGCTCCAGCCCAGCCACCTGCTCTGCCCTGTCACAGCTTCTGTGAGGAGGCAGGTTTTCGCACCTCGCAGGGCAGGTGAATGGGCAAAAGCTGTGCCACCCACAAAGGGACAGTGCGGCAATGAGTCGAGTGTTTGGGTGATGGAAGACACTCACGAGACACACGCGCTCCCCTCGCTTGTATGACGCCATGGGATACTGCGGTGTGTAGAAGGACCGCAGGTCGGTCTCTTCTCTCCTGGTGGCCTGCCCGCAGACGCTGTCGAAACGCCTCAGGTTTCTAAGGTCCGTTCCCAGGCTGTTGTAGACCCCAAAGCTGTCACCCAGGTCCTTGAAGCGCCTGGGGTATGCCTCGCACCTGGGCATCCGCAGACAGATCAGCCACCTCATCCACCTCATCCACGGTGAACCAACGGCGGCGGGCGACCTGACCCATGTTGAGGACTCTCTGCCGCCGTTCAGGCAGAGGCGTGTCGACAGATCCGTGGACGGTCCTGTAGCGGCTTTTTCATCCCCCATTTCCAGGTGTACATCGCAGCCGCCCAACCGCCGAAATTCCTTGCATTTTGGTCCACCCTGCCCAGGTGAGAAAACTCCCTCGACAATAGATGCAACCGCCGAACAACGGGACACAATCGCCCAGAAAAGAAGCACACTAACTAATCCCCCGTTGCGCAAGTGCGCTCGCCCCACGAAAGTCGCTTCTCGACTGCGAATCTCGAAACTGGTTTCGCTGCCGGGTTGACGCCGAGCCGGACACCATTCCACGCATTGGTGGCTAGCGCAGGTCCGTCCCGCTAGCTCCCATGCGGCTGGAGTCCCGATAGGGTGGGGGAGCCGGCCCCAAGGGCTACAACGCCCTGAACATCCAGAGAAGGGCCCCAGTCGCGGTGCCGGTACGACTTTGCGCGGCCCTCACTTGGCCTCCCGGAAGTGGTCCAGCAGCTCGGGATTGGTGTAGAAGTCGCTCCCGTCGTCCACCCGGTAGCTGCAGCAGTGCACGTGGGGATTGCCTGCGGCCGCCGCGCCCCGCCAATCCATCGCGAGGATCGCCAGCAAGCAAAGCGCCACGCGCAACATTGCCATGATGTAGAGCCGCCAACGCGCTAAATGCTGCTTGAGCCGCGCACAGGGCGCCCGGTGCGCGGCTGTGCCGCCGTGCCGGTGGCGCTCCCTGCGGCGGGACGGCGAGACTGGTACCGTTGGCGGGGTGCGGCCTTAGTGGATCGCGGAGGAATTGTGTGATGCGGGAGGGGCTGGGGCGGCAGGGCTCTGTCGAAGGTGACGTAGCTTGCGGTCCGGAACCCGGTCAGGAGTCCGACGCCATGACACGCGCGGCTGCTATTCCTGCCCCACCTACCTCCAGGACGGCGGTCACCAAATGAAACCGCCGTTTTCAGTGATGCTAATGCGATGCCGTAATAGTACCGTACGGGTGAATATTTCTTTTTGCGACAGTGGACTATTCTTTTTTGCGACAGTGCCCAACTACTCTTTTTTGCGACGGTGGATTGTTCTTTTTTGCGACAGTGAATATGACTAATGCACAGCTTGGGAAGGCGGCGGGCCTTCGAATCAGCTCGCCTACCCGCCCCCCCGGCCCCTGCCCCCCGCCCCCCGCCCCCCTCCACCCGTCACTTGCCACCGGCCGCTACCAGCCGCCATCGCTGTTGTTCGCCGCACGGGGCATCGTTTTCCGCTCCCTCGAACTTCACGAGTCAACATTGTGCTTGTTTGGGGTCTGGGTGACGCACAGGGCCGGGCGGCGCCAAATGAGCACTATTGTTGCGCCAACCGCTGAAATGCCTCCAGTGGCAGCCCGCCACAGGTCGTGGCTCACAGGGCGTTCCCCCACCCGGCAGTGAAACCTGGTCATGTGACCAATCAACGGCGCTGGGCGTGGGCGCCTTGATGGTCGATGCTTGGACGGCATTGGCGCTGGCAACCAGCGCCTTGGCCCCCCCGTCCGGCGTCACAAGCAACACTCCCCAGTCCCAGTTCGCGGCGCCGTCTCCCCACACGGCCAAGTGCCCGCATTTCAGGGGGCTAGCACGGCAAAAACAGATCTGCGGAGGAAACGGGGGGCTGCGACCTCAGCCGATTCGGCTGAATCTCAGCGCCAAAGTGATCGCCGAACGGTAGCGGCAGCCCCCTTCCGCAAGGAGGGGACCCTGGGCGTCCCCAAACGTTCCCATTTCGCCTTTTGGTCCTTTCTCCGAATAGACGCGCCTTCAGCGCCGCTGTGAGAGAAGGCCCCGTGGACCGTGCAGGGTTGGTGTGGGAAATCTGACGCCAACATCTCGCGCATCAATTATCGCCACTGTCGCAAAAAAGAACATGTCGCAAAAAAGAACATGTCGCAAAAAAGAACAATTTCACTGTCGCAAAAAAAATAGTAACCAATAGTACGTGACGCCATGACGTGGTCGCGATGGCGTTAACGGAGCCGGGATGAGCGCCGGGAACACACTTTTCTGGCCGCGCATGTGACTGTGGATTTACTGTAAATGTTCGAGTCGCTTTTCCGTGTCTTTGGAAGTGACACACATCACCACCATGTCGCTCGTTCGTGCGGGATGAGCGTCTGTGACTACCGATTGAGGCGAGCCTCGACAGATGTGGCATCAATTGTTGTCGAACGGAATCGCAAACGGCATCACCAAAATGGCGTTTTCTACTGGCAGGCAGAGTGGTGGTCCCGCAACAGCGGCCCCTTCAGATACGGCCCACAACGGACCTATTGGTGGTACGGCACCAGAATATTGCAGTACAAACTGTACCAAACTGCAGCAGATATTGTGTTTTATTCGTCCGCGCATTCTCACGCGCATCTCGAAAAAAAATGTGGCCAGGGGTCACGAACAGGGCGCTTTTGCGGAACCCCACAGTGCATCGCCCCCAGGGGATTGCTTGCGCAAAGGCAGTGAGACGCACGCTTCAACCGATACAGCCTTTGCTGACCAAGAGCGCCGCCGCGCTCTCCACCCAGAGCTTATTCGGTAGTGTCGAATTGATCGCTTGATCCGCCGCGCGTTCCCCCAAAATTGCCGAGGAAGGCGCCCAGTCCAGAGGACGCTGCCAGCCGGGCCAAGGGAGTCGGCGTGGCCTCAATTCGGGAGGCGTTGCTCGTCGCGAAGCCAACAGAGGCGCGGCAGAGGTAAGAGAGAGACCCTGCGGTTGCTCCATCGGTTTTGAGACTCAGCGCGGCCGTGTGCAAGTCTTGGGGGACAAACGGCCAAAGCTCCCAACGCGCCTGTGCCCCGTTTTGGCGTCTTGAGAGCTTCCGTCGGTGCTTCTGTTCGAAGCGGGGCCCTGCAACCTTGATTCCCCTTCTTGGCCTTGCGCAGCGAAGCCCGGCGCGGCTGCTGCTTCACCGGCTGAAACTCAACTTCCCCAGCGTGGGCACCTTCCTCCCGCCGCTTTCGTGGCGCGATGGAGAGCGTCCCCTACCTTGAGTTCGTGGTGGGATTCACCATTCTGGTGTACGTGTTCCACACGTTCTTGGACGTTCGACAGTACAAGGTGTGGAGCGCGATCCGGGCAGCACAGAGCGCCCCAGTTTGTGTTTGCCCTCATTTGTGGAGCCCCGGGAACTAGCGCTTCTGCATCTTTGCTTTGCCAGGATCATTCGGCTTGCAGACATTAATCTTTAGTTGGTGATCTATGGAATTAAGCCTGACATAGCCTTCAAGGTGCAAGGCAAGTAAATTGTCTGCCCTCGTTTGTGGGACCCCGGGAACTAGCACTTGTGCATCTTTGCTTTGCCATGATCATTCGGCTTGCAGACATTAATCTTTAGTTGGTGATCTATGGAATTAAGCCTGACATAGCCTTCAAGGTGCAAGGGAAGTAAATTGTCAAGTCTGTTTGCCCAATGCAATCACTGATTGCAGTGCCCTTTGGCACTTGAGTTCAAGCTTGGTGATTATTCGGAATGCTTGCTGAACTTTACTGTATTGATTCTTGCCATCCTGGATGTCATTAAGGTTAAGAATGATGTTTTACATGCAACCATTTTTTACTGTCTTGGCATCAAGTGGATGGGCTGACTAAGTGCTTGTCATCGCTGTTTGCCAAAATATTCTGCAGGCTTTGAAGTTGCCTACTCCTCCAGAGTCGGTGGCGCACCTCTTTAAAGGCGATCTATATGAGAAGACGCAGATCTATTCCTTGGACAAGTGGTGAGGAGCAGCTCTCCACATGGAAAGCAAATCCTGTGTGAGCATGCTTGTGTGTGAACTTGTACTCACTATCACCCACACAGATGCCAGAATTGGATGGTTGCCGCACTCGAACGAATACAAAGTGCTCATGGGCACACAAACGCATCAATAAACAGATGCCTGGAGACCCAGACCCTCTGGGTGCAAAGTGCATTGTGGCTGTCTTTCCCTGCACACCTTTTGAAGATGTTCGCATTGTAACAGCATGCCCACCAGCTGCAGCAGTTTGCAAAAGAGGTCACTAGCAAAATGTTTGTGCAAGCAAGGGGCATCCTTTTGACTTATTTGTTTGGATGCCGAGCATGCTGCACGCCTTGCTGTGTTATTTACCCTCCAGGTGCAGCTTGCTTTTGAGCAGTTTGGGAGATAAACATCTGCCAGAATAGCTGTTGCTGGCCACACAGCAAGAATGGACCAAACTTTAGCAACTGGATGTGTGAACTGCATATTGCTTGAGATTTGGGATGCCAGACCTTGATGATACCATTCAAGTGCCGATAGACCACATATGTGTCCATGCTACGAGGGGGATACTGTCCATGAAGCCACGCTTCCCTGGTTGGGAATTTTACTACCTTGTTTGGTGTGTCCTGAGGGATGGTGATCCTGACATCCGGCCCTGTCATCTCCATTGTTCATCTGGGAATCACTCTGCAGTATAGGCGTCACAGGGCTAACCTTGATTTAGTTTGCCCACTTCCTGCAATTGAATCAAGATTTCATGGGATCACAAGGCATCTGTATCTGGGCCACGTTGTTGACCTTTCTTGTGCACCCAGGGCTCGTGCAGATGGTGACATTGCATCGTCTTGGCTGTCATGCAACGGCTGTCATACCTGAAGTGCGGAAACACAGAGTATAAAGCTCAATTTCACAGCCCGGTGCACTGCAACCCACATAGCCTCGTCACTGCCCTGGTGATCTGTTTTATTGTGTTTGCACAACCTATGAAGCCCACTCTTTTCACTTTGAAGATAACGATGACAGGCACAATTTCAGTTATGGCAGCTGTTGGAGAGTGCTTGTTCGATTCACCTTGGATGAATTTGGCAAAGCATAGCTTTGTTGCAAATAGCAAAAAATTGCCTAATTGCTCAAAAGGGTGTGAATGCATGCACTTGACTCAACTTCTGGTTGTGTACCACTGACTGCTGCACCCTGCTGCTGTCAGGTGGTTTTCGATGGCCCACGATGCCTGGGAGCTAGTGACAGGGATATTGACGCTAGCATGTGGGTTCCTGCCCTGGCTTTGGCATGCTGTGTCAGCTGCATTCTCAAAGGTTGACTGGGCCAAGGACGGGGAGATCGTGCACACGATCGCCTTTGTGCTGATTTTGTCTGCAGTGTCCATTGCGATGGACCTGCCATGGGGGCTATACAGGACATTTGTTCTGGAAGAACGGCATGGTTTCAACAAGCAGACACCCCTCATTTACTTCACCGACTTGTTGAAACAGGTGGACATTGCCAGAGGCATGGGTTCTGAGTGTGTACGCATCCGGATATGCATGTTCAGCCCATGGGAACAGGTTGCAGATTGGGGTACACCCTATTGGCATTGATGCATTGGCCCTTTCTGCACTTGTCAACAGTGTAAAGTTGCCCTTTGTCCAAGAATGTGGATGAAGCTGGCTGTGTGCACTGAACAATTTTCATTCCAGGGTTGTTTGGTTGAGTTTGTACATGTGTGTACTTTCATTTTGATAATGTTTGTTGTTGTTGAGAATCTGCTGCACGTGCACATTTGATGCAACAATACGCAAATTTTGCACCTGCAATGTGTGATTCCAAACTAATCAGCCATGGTGGACCAGGAAAGCACCTGTATGAGTTGGCCTGCAACAGTGCACTCAAGCTGGCATTGATGGGATCATACAGTTCATTGCATGCTGCATCGTGTCATCTGATTTCAGCTTCATGTCACCTGTGCTGTTGCAGATGTCCAGCCAGTATTGATCACCTGCTAATCATCCAGAGTTTTGCATCACTGTGCTGATCTTAGTGTACACTTGGTTGTGCGATCCGCAGATGCTGCTGGGGCTATTGCTGATCCCTCCCATAGTTGGCGTGGTGACATACATCCTCATCAACGCGGGGAGGTGGCTGCCTCTGTACCTGTGGGGCTTCTTCTTTGTGCTAGTGCTGTGTCTGATGACCATCTATCCGGTGCTCATTGCACCACTTTTCAACAAGTTCGAGATCTTGGAGGAGGTGCGTGTGCCCCATGCACCGTACAGCTTGCTGGCCACATTCAGCAACCACACCATCTCTTCCCAGAATGTGCAGGAATGGTCTGTGCCCTCTGTCTGCACGCAGCACCGATGGCTGGCCATTGACAGGCAGAAGCTGGGACCTTTTCATTGTCACACGCCTGGTACACAAAGCGTAACAGTTGTGGGGATTTCCGTTTGGCATGGCCTTGACGCTCTGCCCTCCATTCCTCCTCCTTTCCGTCACAATTTTGGTCGCAGTTTTATTGTTGCATGCCCAGCTGTTTGTACTGAGAACATTACGCCCTATTTGTGGCGAGGGACATCTTCATGCACTGGAAACAGACCATCGTGGGGGGACAACGCCCGCCGTCACCTTGCAAGTGCAAGGTCAACTGGCGACAATTATGACCAGAACGAATGCCATCGGCAAGCTGACGTTGCTGGTCCCTTGCAGGGCAGCCTGAAGGTTCAGATTGAGGAGCTTGCGTCCTCACTGAAGTTCCCCTTGAAGAAAGTGTACCAGATGGATGGGTGCAAGAGGAGTGCGCACTCCAATGCCTACATGTATGGCTTCTTCAACAACAAGCGCATCGTGCTGTACGACACACTCATCCAGCAGTGCACGAATGAAGAAGTCGTCTCCGTACTGGCCCACGAGCTGGGTAAGGGGCCCTTGGTGGCGACGAGCACCGTCTTCATCCTTGCATTGTATTTCAATTCCAGAATGCCGCGTCATGCTCATGAGATCATGTGGAGTTATATTTATGTTTGATGGACTGTTGGCATTTGCGTGGCTGGCAGGTAAGCGCTGGCGTCTGCCAGGCTTCCAAAAGGGCTGGGCACAAGAGACGACTTGCTCGCACCCAAAAATCAGATAATGTCAACATTTGGCCACTGTCATCGTGTTTGTCCTTGCACTCTTATTCCGATTTGTGACCATTCATATCTTCGCGTGTTGTTCTCTTGTATTTGTGTCTCCCAGAGTGGAAAGGGATGGTCAGGAAGGCTCCAAATTCTGTGGGAAAGCGCTGAGGAAGAGTGCTGTGGCGACTTCAACCCACAGATAGGCTAGGCGCAACGAATAACTGCGGCGTTCTTGGTGACTGGTCTCCTCGCTCTATCGTGGCCTGGGTGCACGTCACACTGTGCCAGTTTTGCAGGGGTCGAAACACTGACGGGCCCGGCCGTGACGTCATCTGGCGGGATTCGAAACTGCCGAGGTTTTGCTGACGCCATGGGCGTGCCATGCGGCTGTCCAGGTCATTGGAAGATGAGGCACACGATGATGTCGTTTGCCATGGGCCAGGCGCTGGTGTTGCTTCAGGTCCTGCTCTTCACCTTCGTCCGCGATTCTCAGCCCCTGTTCAGGTCATTTGGCTTCCTACACGCCCAGCCGGCCTTCGTGTCATTCATTCTGTTCCAGTTCATCAGCGCCCCAATTGAGGAGGTAGGGGACGGACTCCATCGATACCTGGCTTGGCCGCATTTTGTCACACATTAGGACAATGAGCGATGTATCAGAGTGCATTTTCTCCTCCCATCGCCTGTAGGATTTGTATACTCTGGGCCACACAGTTGCCACACAGTCTCTTCGCTCATCCCCTTAAGACGCCCCCTTTGAACATGCACACCGTTCAATTCGATGGGGCTTACAGGCAAAGCCATTGGATTGGAGGGCACAGGCCGCGGCTGGCAATGGCCTAAAGAGGTTTCATCGCAACAATGCAGAGGAACGCAGGGCGCAGTGTATAATAGCGCAAATGACAAACATGAAGTTCCAATCGTGTTGCAGTGTGTGCGCCGAACATCATCCTCTGATTGAAGTAACTACTTGCCCCACTTCACACAGTCGCAGGATGCTGTCACAGCATCCGACCCGAGCCGAAACGACCCCAGCTCGTTGCGCCGCGCCCAGGCCGGGTTGACCGGGTCGTGAACCTCTGCGCTTGCATCTTTGTCGGATGGCGACGCGGTCTGACAAGGTTCGTGGACTGGCCGATGCTGCTGTTCAGGTGCTGCATTTTGTGCAGAACGTGGTGAGCCGGATGTTTGAATTCCAAGCCGACGCCTTCGCCGTGGGCCACGGCCACGGCGAGCAGCTGCAGGCGGCGCTTGTCAAACTGGAGGAAAAGAACAAGTCGCCGCTGAACGTCGACCGGTGGTTTTCGTCCTACCACTACTCGCATCCGCCGCTGCCCGAACGCCTGGAGGCCATCCGGACATCCGTCAAGAAAAGGACATAAGGCGACGTTGCATGTGTGGGAAAGGGCCCCGCTGACAAATGGGACAGTGTTGCCAATATGTTTGTGGTTGTTCGCCCACCCAATGCCGCGCTGGCCACGTCAGGAAAGGGGCAGGGTGGCGCAGTGGAAGGCACTTGCTGTCTTTGGCAGTGTAGGCCGGCGGTTTACAGTACACTCACTGCTGAAAAGACAGAGTGACTAGTCAGACGAAGTGACTAGATGCCGGCGAGGCCACCGCAGCTTCAGTAGCCCCCAATGTGCAGCGCGTATAAGCATCCTGAGCTACAACCGATTTTCAGCTTTTCATGCACTGCGGGCACTGAGGTGTGCTTGGACAGATTTGCACGCTGCTGACTCACGGCCTGTGTGCGCAAGCCCTCTTCGTGCATCGCCGTCTTCCATCACGCTAACCTGTGACCCCGGCATGGCATTGTGCCCGGCACACAGCAAGATAAGGCAGGCGATCGCGTTGAGGACACCCAACCAATCTGCAGCCCAAACTCTGTTACGGAGCAACAAACTCGACGATGGCGCCCAACTTCCAATGCATTTAACCCAGTGGGTTTGGCAGCATTGACAAAATTGGCACCGCACAAAATCCCAATGTCTCGCGAATGCAACAAAGCTCCCTCCTCCATCAGGCTGGTTGAGCCTCTGTCAGCCTCCGAAATGTAGAGGACATTTGCGACCCGACCTTGAGCTGCTTGGCCCCTTGCGCCACTCTTCGCACCGAGTCTTTGATGGCCCCACAGAACGCTTCAGTTTGGAACAAGAACGAGGAGACGTGCCCTCCTGGGACCCACCGCATCTCCGAGCCCTCCCAGTATCTGTGAACCTCCAGCACCGAATCAGGGGAGACGTAGGCGTCATCGCGTGCAGCCACGAAGACAGCGGCGTCCGGTCGTTTTGGTCTGCGGCAGCAAGCAATGGATCGCTAACGCCGATGCCCCATAAAAGGGAGGGCAGCGCGGTGCATCTGGCACGAAATTCATGGATGTCACAAACCTGACAACAGATCGAAACACTGGTATCGATTTGTTCGCCAGCGCGCGAGGTTGGGGGGCAAGGGAGCGCCCAGACAACAACACTTTCACAGCGCATCGAAAATCTTGACAGTGCAATGTGGGCAAGCAGGGATGCGTGGATCTGCTTTGCACAAGCTCGGAGATGAGGCCACGCACCAAGCAAGACAAGCCAATATGGCTCTGGAACAAAAACACAACTAAACTGACACCTCAGAGCGCCGTGATGCGCACAAAGCAGCCCGAAAGCTGCCATCCAAACAGCAGACCAGGCAACCAGTCATGAAGAGTGTCGATGGTTGAATGACAGACTACTGGGACGCTCGCGCACAACACACTGCCCGCTGACAATGAAAAAGTTGCTTGCCGAATTCGAGGCCGACAGCTCACGTCCATCAGGTCGCACCTGGGAAATTTCTTCACATCTGTGTATCTCTCCAGCACTTGTTGCAACTGCTTTTGGGCCTGCGCCTTGCTTTCCAACAAGTACCACCGCCACAAGACCCCAGCCTCCGACTCGAAGTCTTCGGGATAGAAGGGCTGCTCAGGGGCCTCGTGACCCAGTGTTCCCAACGCCAGCCGATCCCCCAGCAGGGAGTCCAGCCTGATCATCGACTGGTCGGTAGAAGGGGGCGAGGTCTGTGGGGGCAAAGTACGACCCGACAGGCACAGGTCTTTGGGGATGTTCACCTGTCGATGCACATGCTGCTCATGCGGTGGAGATGGCATCAAGTGCAATCAAGTACAGGTCATGCATCAGGCAATCCCCCTCAGCAACAATTACAGTGTACGAAATACTGCCAATGGAAAGTTGCTACACGCACAGCTCTGCAACAGCACCAGTGTCACATGTGCCTGGACACTAATTCAAGTTGGCAAAGCCGATATCTCCACATGAGTTTGCCACTTCGGTGCAAACACAGTGCCCAGGAACTTGAATATGATACTGTGCGATTTGGGCTTTCCAAAATGCAGGAGATGCTGCAAGATGGCGATGATGCACAATGTCAGGTCAAAAATGACGAATGGGGCCATACAGTGGGTGTGATGGCTGCTGAGGTCAGCGACAGCGGCTCCCAGGCTTGTTGCAGGGCACCCTGACAGAAGGCCACCGCCGCCGACCTCGGGGTAAGCATGGGAGAGCAAGCCACAGGCTCAGGGTACAACGAAGCCACCATGCAGGAATGGACACCACCCATGGAAAGACCACACACACCTGGTGCAGCAGCCCAGCCATCACTGCTGTAGGCGGGCATGGACGAAGTGTTGGGCAATGAAACCCCTAAAGCATTAATAGTGCAGCTAACATTCGTGTGAGAATTAATGAACTGGCACAGAGATGCAGAGATGCAGCTCATGGAAACATCGTTTTCAAATCATTCTTGGTTCAGCATGAAAGCAACACCAATTGGACTCATGCAGCTTTGGTAGAATAGAACCTAGTTGCCAATCCCCCAGTTGGCAGCAGCACTCCACTGACTGACTGCATGCCAGGCTGGCATAAGCAAAAACAACAATACAGGTACAAGCATTAACAACGTGGCGGGTGCCATCAGCAACTGGTGCTTAACTCGATTGCTGAGGTAGACCCAAAATCAGGGACAATGTCCCAGTTGAGCACTTGTCTGAAGCTGATTATGCTTGCACAAAAGGGAAGTGTGAAACAGTGTCTAATACAAGCCAAATTTGGCTTGTATTTGAAACAATCCAAATTATCACATTGCACTTGCAATTGCGATGAGCAACGATATGCCTAGCAATGCATGCACATGACCTGAATCGAGGCAGCAGAATGCCAGAGTCATACTCAGGCATGCATTTTGTGCAGTAAAAACAGGCCTCTTTTTCCATTAGCTGTGAATGTCAAAGATGGCACTGGGTAAGAGGGGTCCACCATCGAGCGGAGTTCAGCTGAAACATTACACTTGGGGCACGTCAGTCAAACGCAGCAGCATCTTCATGGTGAGGTCAATAATTGCGGCCCCCTCACTTCAGTCAACGGCTGCCCGATCGCATTGGTGGCACCACCACAGCCCAGTGGAGTCTTACCTAACGGTCCAAAGCCCTTCGCATTGGCCCAGTGCAGCAGCGATAAACTTTCTTCAATGGTGGCCCTCCCAAGGGCCAACAGGTCACTGACGTACCTCAACTTGGAACCCACTTGTGCACCTGGGCGACGGGCACCATAAAAGGGACTCTCAAGCACAAGGGATGCTATTCCCTGGCACAGCAAAGCCAATCAAGTGAAAGGCCGCCCAAGGGCAACTGGCAGCGCCAGCGCAAAGATTGTACCCAATGAAGCGAACGCAGAGGAGATAATGGCCATTGGCAGGGATGTCTTTGTGCAAGAAGCAATGGGGCAGTAGCTATCCCCCAGAAGCACTTGAGCACTGCAATGGCAAGTGCTGAAATCATTAGTACAGACAACAGAATAACTGTTGGTGAAGCCATCAGCTGGGTTTCAGCCCCATGTTCACAGTTTCCAGAGTTTTAGGGACTGATCGCCCCATTTGTAGTTCACAGCATCTTGCCATGACCAGGGCCATTGCGCCCTTGCCACACACAGCAATGGCATTGAATCTAATAATTTTTGCCAGGTATCACATCTGGCCTCTAAAATGGGATTGCATTACTTCCATTGTGGAAGCAGCATAACCCCACTTCAGTGGCCGTCGTCTACAGTGCACGCTTCTTTCCATGCAGCACCTGAAGTCTATCCAAAGACACACAACGTCAGCAAGGGACACTATCGGGTGCAAATTTCGTCAAAATCGGCAAGTATCTGATAGAATTCTGCAGCACATCCCCACTGTATCGGGCTGAGGCGTGCACCACTGTTTTGTTGCCAGTGCCGCACTGTGAAATTTGGCATTGCCATGTGACGCAGTCACCACTTCAATCGACTGACTGATTGATTGATGGATTGGTTGTGGTCCATTGGGCACAGTGCAACATCCTGCATCAATGTTGCGCGCTGGTATTGCAGGTGGGGTAGAGGGTTTGTGCATGCTCACATGCCGCAACAGGGGGAAGCCAAGGCTCAGGCGGCGGCTGAAACCTTGGTCGCCTGTTCCAGGCAAATGCAGGACACAGGCCAGCGAGTCTGTGGGTGCCTCAGGTACAAGGAGCTGCACCCGTCCAGCTTGGCTCTCCCTTGGAAGGGCATCCCAGGTGACAGCAGAGACTGGACTCCTGCCAAATGCAAAACACACAAGGGCTTGGCTGTAAGTAGTCAAATTATGCTTTTACAAAACTGTGCAACAGAATGCACAAACCCATTGCGAGCCTGTACACTGACAGTCATCTTTGACTGCATTTTCTGGTCAATGCGATGGCAAGGCAACCGTAGAGCAATGATTTTCTATCAATCTTGTCAGTGGTGCTTGCAAAAATTGCAGGGAAGGCCATGCAGCAGGAGGTTCAGACAGCAGCAACCAGTGTTCACACAACCTTATTGTCACTTGCAACTCAAGTTGAAACTGTTGCCAAACATGGAACATCGCTTGTAGCATTTTGATGTTAAGGCAGTGATACAACAAAGCACACTTTGGCATTCAAGCAATCCTTTACTGGTAAGGTAGCACCAAGTGGTACTGTGCATGTAGCACTTGTTGAACATACACCATGTATGTTTTACACCACATGCCTGAATTTGCCTTCCAGAATGCTGAATTTCACTCCATGTGATGTGCCCTTCCTGATCACTGTCCAAGATGCCTGTTGAAGTGGAGCCAATGTTAATGTTGTTCTGTGCTTTGAGCTTTGTGCAGGCATTCATGCATTAATGCACCCACCAGGCTTTGAGATCTCTTGGAAAGAACAGCATAGACAGGTGACACTGACTGTCATTGTCACATGCCTTTAAAGTCAGAAAATTTGCCATGCATTGGAGTGCGAGGGAAGGAGCATGCACAGAAGCCAGAAGCAAGTGATCCAGGGGCGTTCTTTGTCTGGCCAGATAATGCTTCACCATTGCGTGGTCGCACAGCAGGATGCATCACAACAGCAAAGTTTGTGCCTGTGCATACAGAAGATTCACGGACACTCTTGCACAGAAAAGCAAGTGCTGGTAAGCATGAAAATTTGCTCATAAAAGCCTACCCAATAAAATAAGACAAGGAAGAACTGCCCTTTAGGATCACGTTACAATGTGAACATCGCCCAGTACCACCTTGGCACAAGGGAAGCAATACCTCACGCACTGACAAATATGTATCACAATGGATTTCAAGCCTTGTACTGAACACTTCACTAAAAAATAATGGACTGCCCATGTTAGACTGCCCACGCTCCTCTCGCTATTTCTAAAGTACCCCAGCATCAGGAATTTGCCTGTGCAGCTGCACAATCATGAATGCTGTGCGTCCAACATTGCCCCATTTTGGCCAAATCTGGAATTGCATCTTGACAGTGCTTCCGCAACTATAATCGATTTGTGCCATGATGATCAACAGCAGTTGATAGCTGGAAAACAATGATTCAGCACGTAATGCAGGATCTCATGTGCATGTGCATGTGCGTCTGCTGTGACTGGTATACAATGGCAAGTAGTGTTCTTCACCAGCAACATCATGGCAAATAATTGTCCAAAAAATGAAAAGAAAATTGGCAAGCCCTCCCGGAGTCGCCAATCCTAGCAGTAGGCCCACCACCACTGCAGCCCTTCTTTGAAGCGCTGCCTGCTCAAGCGCAGACGAGCGCGAATCCCCATGGGTTCACGTTGCCAAAGCATTGGCGAGGCGTTGCGCTCTCGCAAACACAAATATGCTCGTGAGGCAATCTTTTCGCTGAACCGGCAGTCTTGTCAGTAGTCTGGCTTTTTTTTGGTTCAGGAAACACCAATAGTTGATGAAATTTCAGCGGCAGCAATAATCTGCGCCACGTACTGGACACCTTTCATTTCAGGGCGCTGTTTCCCTTGGCTGCCAGGCGGGTGAAACAGAAGCGCTGGATCCGCGCTGAGCGCACCTTCAGCTCCGGCGGAGGCCAGTCCAGCCCCTCGGCGCCCTGCAGCCAGTCCACCTTGTCCAGGTCCCCCCAGCCCTTTGCGAAGAATATCCCGTTGGGGCTCAGGCGGTGGACCAGCATCGCGTACAGCATGTCCAGCGGCTTGCCGTGAAGGGCGGACAGCAGGCCGGTCATGCCGGCCAGTGGCCACCCCTGCCGCAGCGCGGGGACCATGCTGAGAGCCGGATGAACAATCAGCGGCGCGCCTCTGGCAAACCAATCAGGCAAATCAATTCTCAGGCTGCTTGATGGAGGAGAAGAGGTGCAGAGGGGGGGAGGGAGCGATCCAGCGAGGGTGGCTGCCAGGAGGTGGGATCTGGAGGTGAGGCGAGAAGGGGCCGGCTGGGCTGGCGGGTGTGCAGCACCTGGGCAGGTGGCGGGTTGCGACGACGGGGGGGGCTCCGATCCGTCAGCCGCGCCTGGAGAGCAGGGGATTCGTCGGGGCGCGAGCGCCTGGGTGGTTCGCGCCCGGAAGAGCGGGCCGTCCCGCGCCGTTCCGCGTCGCAGCGCTTGGCGCCCCAAGGGGCTGGGTGGCAGGGGCCCAAGCGCAATGGCAACAGTGCTGTGCTGGATGACACTGGGGATCTTTCAGCGCGTTTGGTCACTTCTTCCGCACTCCTGGGTTACTTTTCTCTTTCTTTTTTAAATGCATCACGACTCGCGCTTGTTGTCAGCGCACTTGACGGGCAGTTTGAAGTTTCTCATTGCACGCAGAACAAGGAGCACCCGTGTGGATGTGTTTTCGTTGTGTGGTGTGACGGATTGAGCATGGGACAATAACTCAAGGAGCCACACTATTTTGGAGACTGCCAGGAGCGCAAGAAACGCCCTAAAGCCGGGACAGCTTTGTTCCAGAAAGTGGTTAGGCATTATAAAAATTGAATTTCGAGCTGAGACCTATGCTTTTGACAGCTCAGGTCGTTCATGTGTTCACAGTGAAACGCCCAATGCTCAGATTTGCAACCACTTTTCTGGCCATGAGAATCAAAGCGAGCAACAGAATACTGACCATTGCGATAGAAGCCACAACTTTCCTGCAAGGTTTCTCGCTGCAAGACACGCTGACGACAGCATTTGTTGCTGAGGCGGACCGTGTTTTAAACACATGATCATCAATGCCTTCAAAGAACATTAGAACATGGCGATGTCTCAGAACTATGGAGCCCCTGAACATCCCCCTGTTGTTGTGCAGCAACCGTGGTTCAGCCATGCAGGCATTTTAGACCATTCAGGGCCATCACAGTGAGCCAGAAGAGCAGACGCTTTCGTGCTGCAGCTCAATTGCATAATTCAGCTGAACGCTGGGCCCTGATTGGGCAGCGCAGTAGTTCACGTTTTGGGTGCACAAACGGCAAGGAACTACGGCCCAGCGCCTCGGTACCGTCGGACCGCATACGGCACCATACACTTAGTCGGATGCCCGGCGATTGTGGGCACATAAGATGGATGTCCCCGCGGGCGCCGCCTGTCGTGAAGCGCTGCTGCGGCAGGCGCGGGAGCTCAAGGAGGAGCTCACGCGCAACAAGGCGCGCCTCTCTCAGGGCCAGCTGAGGAAGCGGCAGAGAAAGCTGAAGAGCATCTACGACAGGGCGAGGGAGGCGGAGGTGGGCACACGCCTTTCAAGCGAAGCGGCGGCCGCGCGTCGCTGACTGGGATCCAAAGAAAGGCGCATGGCCGTGCTGGGCCAAGGCGTGGGGGCCCATGGGATCCGTAAAGTCATGCTTCCGTTAGTGCGTGTGGCGATCTTTCGCCATGCCCGTTGCCAACGAGCATTGGCCCTAATACAGCGCCAGAATGCTGGCGTCCCGACAAGCACAGGTGGCGTCATCCTGCTGCCAAACCCCTCCCCTTGCGCCCCGTTGTCAAACATGCTTTCTATCGGGCAGTGTCACGCGAGTTGCTTTTGTTCCCAGGGCATCGTCACAATAAACGTGCCTTGCTGCCCCCTGGCCTCCACTCACGTTCCAATTGCTCCCTTCCCTCTGCCCTCTGCCCTCTGCCCATCCTTTTGTTGTTTCCCTTGAACCGCGACGTTCGAAACGGGGTGCAAGTGTGCCCCGGTGCCTTGAAAGCGTGGACGCGCTGTTGTGGGTTGTTTACTCCCTGTGCAGCTCGCTGTGGGCTGTTGTCTCCTAACCCACTACACTGAGTTCCAAACGTCATTGGTCTTGACGGGTAGCTGTGTTGGAGAGTTTGATCTCTTTGTCGTTTTAGTCAAGCCAGCTGACGTTGATGGTGTCTTTTTGTGTTTTTTGCCAGAGTTCTGGAGCAGCAGGGGACAGAACAATTAACCAACCTTCTGGTGAAGTCAACACGAAAATAAAATCTGAAGCCGTGGGTCAACGGGTCCATGAGAACGTCCTGCAGGGCGCTGGAACGTTTAGCCCCAAAATTCCCACCTGTGCTGGGAAGCACCCCTTTGAGGCTCAAAACGCCATCGGCACAGAAACCGCAGGCGCCGGCAGCACCACAGCAGCCAGCATACAATCGGTAGTCCACCACCTGCTGGCCCTGAAGCAAGAAGTGGAGTGGAAGGTTGACGCAGCCCTGTCGGAACTCTCTGTGGTCATCAGCCATGGCGGTGTCCATGGCCCGGGGTCGATCCTGGCAGAAGACAGTGCCATGGTAGACACATCGGCAGCAGGGTCCAAACCGTGGTCAGGCGCACAGAAGAAGCGATGGAGGGAGGAACCTGTGGGTGTGGATGAAAGGGATAGCTGCAGAGACTTGACACCGCACCTGCAGCCTGCCAGGGCGAGTGGGGTGCTGCCCTGTGCGAAACGACGGTGCACGTCAGTGGACAGTGTGGGCCTTTGCACAGTGGCCTCTGTACCAAGCCCGGACTCCAGGCCTTGCCGTAAGGATATGTCGATGATGGTGTCTTTGCTGCGGCCTGGTGAGTGAGTGGCAATGCGTTTCAGCATGGCATTGCGCTGTTACTGCACTCCGGCTTTGTTGAAAGTGCGACATGGGAGGGGACAAGTGGTTCGAAACAGTGTGTTGGACTGTGGTGCCCCTGCATGGAACTGACACCAGGATATTGATCCTGTACGTGCCTGTTCACTGATGAGGCAGCACAATGAATTTGCAGCTGCAGGTATTCTTGGGTGTCCTGTCTCAAGGGGAACAGGATCAGTGGTAGCATGGTGCCCAGCTGTCTTGCTTGCTGCACTGCACCTTGGCTGATCTCAGTATGCGATGGCTGAAAGCCAACAATGATTTCCTTCTGTCAACTATCTTGCTGCTGACTGCAAGTCTGCATGCGATCTGGTGCAGGCATCGAGACAGAAATGTGTGGCGATTCATCTGTCACAGACTTGGGCTGGCGTCAGCGGGCTGCTTTTCCATTTGGGAATTACCACAATTACTATCAGTACCGTGTTGGAGAGGCCTTTGATGAAGATCCTAGGCTACAGGTACATTGAGTATACCCTTGTGCATAGGCAGGATCCCAGGTGTCCTGGGGTTCTGAGATGCCCTTGAATAGGGAAGTTCATATTCTCTATTCACAAGTATTGCATCACATTCAGTAGTCCAGATGCAAAGCCTGTGTATTCACAAGTACTGCATCACATTAAATGGTCCAGATGCAAAGCCCGCCCTAACACATGTGGAGAAGCTTGCACCAGGTAGAAGCTGGTAGTGCAATTTCTTGTTGTTGCTGCAGCGGCCTCCATGATACAAATATTACTAGACAGAAACAGCTGGAAGTTTGTGCCGCTCATACACCTTGCTTGATGAATGTCCTGCTTGTACTTGTAGTAGGCCCGTGTGAAAGCAATAACATGCCGGCTGAACGATGCAAAGTTCTTTGCCCTGCAGGCTCTTAGACAAGAGTGGTTCAAAGGCCGTGACTGCATTGACATTGGCTGCAACGAGGGAGTGATAACCATTGCTTTGGCATACAGATTTCAAACAGGGAGCATGCATGGTATTGACATTGACAACTTCCTTGTAACGAAGGCAATCAGGTGAGTCGCCACTGATGTGTTCTTGTTCAGGGTGATGGTGTTTGTGTTTTGTGCTTTCATGGCCGACCAACGGTATGCAAGATCACACCAAATATCTGCATTTCATCAACTTCCCCATCAGTGCTATCCATATGCGAGTACCCAGACACAGTGTTTTTTGCCATCTGTATGTATGTTGCTTACTTGGCTCTGTACCATGGTGACACCACCCTCCTGGAATTCATATCCCAACAGAAACTTTGGACCAACGTTCTCCATCGCATATTCTGAAAATACCGTGCAATGCTCCACATGTATGCTTTGCACTTGCTGTGGGCTGTGCTACTTCCGATTCAATATACTGAAACTCAAGCCTTGTGCTTGTATGCCTCCTGCATCCAGCAGCCTTGTTCACTATTCACACTCCTCTGTCCAAGGCCTGACGCATGCATCCAGACATTCACATTCACACACAGACTAATGCCTCCCCTGCTTGTTGAACACCTCTCCCCTCACCCCTGCCCACTTCCGCGATGCTTGTTAGGAACCTGCTGAACCTGCGGCAGCACATCTCAAAGCGCCTCCGCGATCGGGATTACCAAGGTGAGCGGAAGGCGCTCGAGAGGGGCGCTGTGGCCCTGCGCAATGTGTCCTTTGCAACCGACGATTGGCTGGAGAACAGCGCAGGTGGCGAGGGGCTGTTCGACACCGTGCTGTGCTTGAGCGTCACCAAATGGGTTCACCTGCATAATGGGGACAAGGGGGTGGAGATGTTGTTCCGGAAGGCCTGGATGGCCCTGCGGCCTGGAGGACACTTCATATTGGAACCACAGGATTTGAAGTCGTACAGGCAGGCGAAGAGAAAGCAGGTGGGGATTGGAGAAGGATGTATAAAAATACAATAATCTTGTTGATTTGTTTGGTCAGAAGCACCAGAGCGCAGTCCTCCTGCAGGCAAGGCGATGACAGCTGAAATTCTATCCACAAGCTTTTTTCCAACTGCAAGCGGACACAGAGGATTCGTATGGGGCTGTACTGAGCCACTGCGAACATCAGATTGGCTGTTTTGGATGGATTGTATGTGGCTGCTGCTATGACTGTGTGTTAACTGTGGCACATGCGCGCATACTCGAAGTCACTCATGCCGCGTGGCAACAGCTTGCATGAGTATCAACACTAGATAATGCACTGTCTCTGGCCCCTGCTGCCAGCACTGCGAACAAAGACATGTAAAGGAAATGGACATACAAGATGATACGATAGACATACAATGGACATGCACAGACAATACGGTCGTGTCTGTTGGAGCTCATCCCGGCAACCTGGGAGTGGATTTGGTGTGCATGGACACTGCGTTTCTTCCCTTGAGGTGCTGTTTAGTGCCATGCATTCCAGGAGCTGTTTGTGTCTGATGATCCAATGATACAGCAGGTAAATGCAATGAAATCTTGGAAGGAAACTGCAAGGGAAAGGACCTTGACGACCATCTATGCAGCCTTGGTCTGGACTCTTTTGTAAATTTGTAAAATTGAAGCTTATTGGTTTCCTGGTGCAGGACATGACCATGGCTCTGTTTTGTGATTTGAAGATGCTACATCTGAAGCCTGATGACTTCCCCAAATTTCTGATTGACAAGATCGGATTCCGCCTTGTGCGCACACTGAGCGTGAAAAAGTCCATACAGGGATTCGACAGGCCCATCCACATATTCGTGAAGCCTGACCTGCCGATCACTGATCATCAGCGCCAAGAGAGAAATGTTCAACCACCCTAGCCAAGAACAGCAGTGGGTTCATCATGGGCTCCTATTCTTGTAGATCATGGTATGCATACCATAGGAAGGAACGAACTGTGTCATGGTACTCATATAGTGGTCGGCTGTGTGTTAAACTGATAGAACTGTAAGCCGCAACATACACGCAGTTAAACTGCCTGTCCAGGTGTGGCGCCATGTTCTTTGCAGATCAAGCAAGGGCATCGATGCTTGACCGATTCAACGGCCGCATTGTCATCGAGCTGTTCTGCAAATGCAGGGCGGTGTTGAAGGTACTATCATGGCAGTTTCATTATGAACAGCTCTCACAGTGCTGCTCTGCAGCAGTGCAGCGCTGAACAACTGAGCTGGTTCCAGCAGGTAATCCCTGGCTACCGCAGCGAACTCTAGAAAGACATTCCCAGTACTGCCCCTTGCAAGAGCACCAGATCGCCAGCTGTTTTTACCATCAAAGGGATCAAATGAGACGCACCCTAGGGGTTGGGAGGTGGTAGGTCCCTCTGTCGCAGTCACAACCTAAAACATATGCTGTTTTGTGCTCCCAGTGTTGCAGTGCCCCTCTCAATAGTTTACCTATCCTAAACTGTTTGCCCTCTTTCCTGTTCTCTCCCTCCCACCTTCTCACTACATGCAGCTCCTATAATGTTAACAATGCATGACACCATCAGTGTCCACTTCCCTCATGGCCTGCCGCGACATTGAAAGTGCCAGCAGTGACGAGAGAATGCGCCCAAGCGCTCTCCTGCGCCTCTTCCCGTCCTCTCTCAACTCTTCATCGGGTCCCAGGATGTTCATGAGCGCACCTGTTGGATCACAGTACATTGTGAACATGCGCTGCGTGCCGCTGAAACACGAGTTGAGGAAGCAATTTCTTTGCTCAATTTCAAGGTGTTTGACATGGCGTGAGTGCAGATTGATATTCTGCCTTTGTGATGTATGTCAATACGATAATATCGGAAAACAGGAAGTAACAAAATGCAAATTTGGCCCTTGGTTTCGATGAGCAGCCTGTGGGGGTAGCGCCCAGCTGGCAATCGTGGAGCTGCAGGAAACTTCGACACGTTCCTGGAAGGCTCAGGGCCATTGCCTGCCGAGTCTGGAAAAGGCAACCAAACTTGTTATGCGCAGGGCAGCCATCGAGCCCATCCTCAACATCATCGGCGAATGCGGTACTGTTCGCAGAGTTCCGTCACAAAAGCAGCTGCTCGTTTGTTTCAAGACGCGAGTGGGGTATGTCACCCAAGGATTTGTAAGCTCGCATGACTGATAGATTGCATGGTGGACGCTTTTTCAACCTGTTCTACACTACTCGCAGTTGCACTGCCAGTAGCACATTAGTAGATGTATTGGCCGCTGATAAAAATTGTGCATTGAATACATCGAATTCAGCGATTGCATAAGAGCCGTGGTACAAGCCGTACATTGATACAATACCGCATGAGCACGGCCACGCGTGGGCCCAGGCACTGAACTTGCATTCTGACGCGGATTCTTGCCGCGAGGAACTCAACGTGAAAACCGACAGGCACTGTGCGAAATGCGCAATGCTTTTTGCCACGGGCATTCTATGTTGCGTTGCGCATTCAACTGGTGCCTTGACAAATCAGCAGCTGCATTTTGTTTCGTGAAGCGCTGCAGGCAATACCGCACCTGCCGAGAACATTCACGATTAACGGTAATATTGCGAACATCAATAATCATAATGAACACAACGAGCATGCCGAGAACACTAATGATAAAAGGCAATATTATGGCTCATAGTGTTGTTGAGGATGGGCTCCTCATCACCTCGCCCACTGACCTGCGGCGCACACCTGCGCCTGCGCGTCTGGCGCCGACACCAGGTCGGCCAGCGGGCGCACGGCGTCCAGTTTGCGGATGGCCATTCTGCTGGCCACCTCCCGGGACACGTTCTGGAGCGCCCCCGCCGCGGAGCCCCTCAGGGGCAGCTGCGGCACCGTCAGCAGCTGCACCAGCTTGCGTATGCCGCCGTGCCGCCGGATGGTCTGGAGGGTCCGCGGATCGGAGGAGGCGTTGTGGAGGGCGCCCGCGCTGCGCAGCCGCACCTTGAGCCGGCAGACGCGAAATCAGCCGGAAATGGTTACAGGGCAGAAAAGTGCGATGTCGAACAATTTGGATACAATGTACAGATAAAACTTACGATGCACAATTCTCGGATGCAAGTCACAGCATAGATTGCGCGTCAGATGGTTTGAGCCTGTTGGATATTTTGTCCGCTGGGATTTCTGCATGCCAGCTCGTTCCTGCGCTCTGCACGGAATTGTGGGGTTGCGGCCGGCTACCTTCAGGTGCTCGGAGTCCAGAAGGCAGATGAACTGAGGGATGGCGGCTGTGCCTGTGATGTGTTTCCGCCCCACCTCCTGCACACGCACATCGACTCCTCCGGCATTCAGCGCTTCTGAAAGGTCCACAAGGAAATGAAGATAACTGGTTGGCATGTGATATCGTCAGGCGGATCGTATGGACAACACCCTGCGGAGCTTCAAGTTCATTTGATGGCAAAAAAGCCAACAAACTACGCGCGCAAGGTTAAAGTTTTGGTGCAAATCGTCCGGACTGGTGTGCAGCGGCCCTTGCACTGCAGATTTCCTCTCATGCCTTTTAGATCACGTGACTGCAGGCCCTGCAGCCACGCGATTTAGGTGGCCCATGCTCCAACTTCGACGTTTAGGCGCATCAAGTTTCGCCACGGAATCGCCAATGTACTTCGTATCAGAATAAGTCACATCAGTGAGAAGCAGGCCACGTGGCTCAGAACTGGTTTTATAGTTTCACTTGTTATCACCTGTACTTCAGGCAGCTCATTGCAAGAGCCTTGAATGTGCGCTCCAAGTACATATGCAGCACTGGTACATTCCCTGTTGCGCCTTGTCTCTGTGTTGGCAGTGCTTTTTTCTGTTTTCGGCAACACCGATCAAAGTGCACACTGCCTAGTCGCTTTGGGAACGCTCCAGTAGCGATAAACAATGTGAAGTACACAGCGCTGCCTCAACGGCAAGATGTAATTAAAACAATATGAGAACAAAAATAGTGGACTTTTCAGTGCCCGATGTTGTGCCTTCTTGCAAAGACAATTGCCGGCAGCGTGGGGCTCGTTTTCCATTTGGCAATATACGCCACACTGTGCAAACAGAGTTTGACTTGCTGCATAGGCCATACGTTCTGTGCAAGCATGTGCAGACAGCATCAAGCCACGGCGGCTTCTGTGAGCACACACCTGAAAGCACACGCTCTGAATGGCTCCCGCTGAATTCGCCTGCACGTCAGAGTCCTCGCTGGATAGGCCATCGACAAGCGCGGGCAATCCCTCACACCTGTTTTGTTCAAAGAATAGTCGTGCGCTCAAATGTACTGGAACGTATAAGTTCAAGGACGGACTGCCCATGCGATCATCTCTCTTTCATGCTGTTAGGTAGTTCCGAATTAGGCACGAAGTTGGGGGTGTTTGCAATTAATGTGTGTGCGCGGGATGCACGTATGGGACTTCATTGGTCTAGTTTTAGATTGACTGTGCTGCAGCTATGTTGTCTCACTAGCAAAATTTGTGTCCGCATATTTCTCCCAATGAAGCAGGTTACTTGGACAACGTGCTGCTCTGAGCTCGGTTTGCAGTGCTCAACATCTTGTACACATTATGTATGAAGTTCTTCATACATATTTCTAAATATTGGTATACATCATATTCGTTTCTTCATAATTATTTCAAAATATTCGTTGCCGACAGGCTCCCCGCATGTACCCGAATTGAGTCATATTGTGCGTAGCTGAATTCACCCGTACCTGATGAGCGCTTCTACGTTCTTCTGTTCATAGCACAGGTTGAGAAGCACATTTGCGGCCTGCGCCGCAATCCCCGCATTGAAGGGGTGCCTCATGTGCTCAAGTATAGCCGACATTTCGTCGTCCCCTGAGCGTCCACGTCATGCGAGCAGAACACACATCAAGGCAATTTGGCCATCGCCTCCCTGCAATGCTATCACCGTATTTGTGTGATATAGGATAGGAGCTTGTCTGAGATCGCCCACTGCAGGCAAATGCCAATTCCTCGCAATATTTCAATAAATTTAATCAGAACTTTTGTTTTCGGAGCCCTATATTTTAGCACTCGTCCCATTGCGTAGACACCCACCTCGAAAGTTGGCAGTATATCTGGTTGGGGAAGCGCCAGAAAGTGGCCCCATATATCTGGTTTCTTGATGATGGCGAAATAGGGGAAGACGCTATTTTGAATTTGGTACGCTTAGTCTCAATGTGACGGCAAGCTCACACCCCTCCCATCCCCACCCCACCCCCCCTAGAGTCCATTCTGTTTTCGATTCTAGGACGACTCAGCAGCATTATCTAAAATACCACACAACTTTCAAATAGTTTTTTAAGTGATTAAGCAGCCGAAATTGTGGCGATTGCAATGATTTTAAAAATGTAATGCCACAGACCATAAGAGACGATGGGAGCAGTCCGAAAGCCTAAAATTGATCTATTTTAGGGATTCCCTTAAAGATGCAAAGCTTTGAGGGAGATTTTGCCACAAGACACGAGCTATCTGCGGATGATCAGTGGCGTTTTTCGTGCATCCTCCCACCCTATTCTGACTTTAATACAATTACAAAGTCTCCTAGCGTCAATGGCGGGACCCCTCCCCCCCTAACGTCAATTTGACAATAAGCCTACCAATTCATGCAGTGTTTTCCCTGGGTCGTATGGATTTCCCAGACTTCCATATCTAGCCATTGTTGCTTTTATTTCAAACCCAGAGCTTCTAAAAAAATCTCTTTAGCCAAAAATGGTTGCCGCTTGTTGACATGCCAGTATGGGCGCTATGACGTCACTGCAAACGCTACCGCCATTTCACATGCCTCTGAGAAGGACAACAATGTGCTGTTGCGAAGTCCTCTATGCTACTTTTGCCTTCGCGACACAAAACAGGGCGCTTAAAACAAATCGATGACTGATTGTTTGTTCGGTAATGTATCCACGGG